GTAGTGTTGATAGGTTTTTTAGGGTTAGGGTCTTAGGGTTTTATTTTTGGTCAGTTATTTAGGGTTAGGGTTTTAAGATCTTAATTTTTTTTTTTTTTTTTTTTTTTTTTTTTTTCAGGTTAGGTTCTCCAGGGTTAGGGTTTTGAGTGTCCTAATGTTTTGTGTTAGGGTTTGGAGCATCCTAATGTTTTGGGTTACTGTTTGGAGCGTCCTCATTTTTTTGGGTTTGGGTTTTGAGCATCCTATTTTTTTTGGGTTTGGGATTTGAGTGTCTTAATTTTGTGGGTTTGGGATTTGAGCGTGTTAATTTATTGGGTTATGGGTTTTAGGCATAGGTCTTCAGGGGTTTAGTGTGGTAAATAGTTTGGGTTGGGTCTATAGGGGTTTCGAGGATTTTTAGGGTTAGGGTTTGAGGCTTTTTTGTGTAAGGGCGGTAGGGGCTAGGGTTCTCTGATTGGCCATGCCGGCTCTCCAGGGGATGCTGGTAGTTGTAGTTTTCTGGCACCAGGCTTCCAGGAGGCCATGTTGGGTGCACAGAGCATTAAGGCAAATGTAGTTCTGGGACTCCGGACTTCCGGGAGACCATGTTGAGTTCCCAGAGCATACCGGGAAATGAAGTTCTCAGACTCCGGACCTCCAGGAGGCCATGTTGAGAGCCCAGAGCATGCCGAGTAATGAAGTTCTCGGAAACTAGGGTTGGAGTTAGGGGCTATGGCTGGGGCTAGGGTTAGGGTTTAGGGTGAGGGTTGGGGTTACGGTTAGGGGTTAGGTTTAGGGCTAGTGAATGCTGGTTCTCTGTGTTTGCAGATGATGGTGAGCCTGTTTAAACTAATTCCAGATGAAGAAGTTTCAATTACTTGCTTGGTGATAGTGTCAGTTCAACACTAAAAGCTGTAGCAAAAGCACAGGGATTTCTGCTTCTAGAAACACCCCAGGTCTCTTGTCTGCTCCCTGCATGCTTTTGAGCTAAAGCAGATTTAAAGAAAGAAAGAAACAAAAAAGAAACAAACAAACAAACAAACAAAAAAACATCACAGCTGCTGCTGTGCCTTCTCTCTTCCTACTTTCTCGTGCTTTACCCATCCCCTTTACCACGTGATTGGGTTCGGGTGCTGGGGGGTCCAAAAGGTATATGAGCCCCAGGCATGGCATCAGAGAGCTCCTTCTGCCTGGGCTGTTCTTTGGGGTAAGTACTTTGTGTTTAATTCAGTCAGTTGCAGGGTTCTTTAGGCAGGCTGGAGTCTATGGATTTCTAGATTTCTAAGTGCTTGGAATTCACTTAATAGAGGGATATTTAGTAGAGGCTGCTGGCTCACTGTTTTTTGGGATGGTGGCATACGCTCCTGTTTTTGAGCTATACTTGAATCACTAGATGGATCAATCCACTTGTAGAACTCTCCAGAGGACTAAAACCAGCTTGATTACATGCTACAAGAGGCTTGACCTTATAGGTTCAGTATGACCAAGAGACTGGTCGTCGTCATCGTCGTCGTCTTTGTCGTCGTCTTCTTCGTCGTCTTCGTCTTCTTCTTCTCGGTTTTCTTAATCTTTTTTGTTTCTTCATGGTAGTCGTCTTCATCTTCTTTGTCTTCTTCTTTGTCTTCTTTGTCTTCTTCTTCTTCTTTTTTGTTTTCTTAACCTTCTTCCAGTGATTAGGACACCTTTTCCAGCTCCCAGAGAAAGTGTTTTTTCCCCTCTTGCTTCTGAAGCCATTGCACTAAAAAAGCAAACGCGTCTGTCTCCCTCCACATGCTGCTCTGAATAAGAGCCAGAAGATTCAAAAACACTCTATGTTCTCCGCACATAGCCGAAAAAAACACCAGTTGAAACAGTACCTCTCTCCCAAGAATTTACATTCACATATCCTATGACTGCAAAAATAGAAGGTGGGGCTGAGGAGGAACAGCCAGTGTTGGGAATGAAAAAAAGCAGCCCGTTTCTTCAGAGTCTTAAGCCTATGCTACTAGGTAAAACAAAACAAAACAAAACAAAACAAGGAGAGGAGAACAACAGCGGGAAATTTACCTATTCTCCAGGTGTTCAATTGCAAAGCCTCCTCTGGAGGATCAACAGCTGTGAATTCAGCGTGCTTAGGAGAAATCCGATCTACGTCTGAACCACAACTATTTCAGTAGCATCACTAGCTTATGTTACTCTGAAGAAGCAGTCAGCACCGTTTCTATGTTAGGAAATAGCTGAGCAGAGTCTGTTATGCACATGAAGTAGTCAGGGAGGTTTCTTGAGGAAGGCTGGGTTTCACTAGAACATTACTAGCCTGTAAGCCTCATGGCATCACCTTCCATCTTGACTGCTAAACCTCCTTGCTCCCTACTATCTTCTTTGCCAAGATACAGCTGTCCACATTTACTTTTCCTACTTGGCTGGACTGAATTTAAGAAGGGATCTTGCAACTCTTCCTCTTGTTTGCCACTTAATCATCACACCAAATGAAAACTATTTGCCTTTCACCTCTTCATTTCAGGCCTTCTTTCCTAGTGGTCATTCAAAACTGGGAAAAAAATAGTCTACGAAGTCGTTTTTTTTTTTTTTGATTTGATAATAAACCTGCAGACTGGTAAGTCACCAAGCACTTCAAAACTGTTTGAAATAATCTCTACATTAATAGAAAAGGAGTACTCCACACTTCTGCTCAAGAAGAAAATCACGGAAAATGTAAACTTTGATTTTAGATATTGAATTTGTTGCAGTGAGATCTTCCTCATCGCATGATTCTATTTGGATTTAAACCATAGTATCTATGGAGAGACCAAGATTAGGACAAGAACAGCACAGAGTTCAGCATGAAGCCAATCAGGAGCTCAAGTTTGTATTCTTTGTATTCAAGTTGATTCCTCTTGCTGGAAGGACCTGCTTTTTGACTCTCCTTCTCTTCACTAGGAGCATGTTCCCTCTTGCTTTGGTAATGCTCTTTTTCAGTGTTTTTAGTCTTGTCCTTTGTACCTTGGCATCTCTCTGCAATAGCTGAGGAGGAAAGGTTTTTAGAGCTACATTCAGTGTCACACTTGAGAGAGGAAGTTTGCTGCAATTTCTCACCAGGCTCAGAAGACTCTTTGCCATACAAAATGTTTTCTTTTGAAATGAGGTCACGTTTTTTTGATCTTCTTGGTTTCTCCTTGTCTCCACCGTCATCACATTGGTACTCTGCGAGTATTAAATAAATTATTATTACTTTATTATTTATTTTATTATTATTAAATAAAATGTGACACTTCAGAGAACAGATTAAATATCCCATGAGATTTCAGCAGGGAAAATGAGTTAATTTTTCATATTTCAGAGAAAGGAAAGGCTGAAATTTCGGACAATCTTTTACTACTAACCAATCTATCACATCAATGGTTGTAATTGCAAGACGACTGCTCCCAAAGCAGCAGGGAATGACACGATCCTCTTTGTAGGACAGCTGCTGCCACAGCAAAGCCACTGTTGCATTTCGTTAGAGAAGCATTGCAGCAGCGCGGGGCACTGTAAAAAGGCTGCGGATCTTGTAGATACAGCTGTGCCAGCTGGAAAAGGAAGCACCCTTAGGTGATAACCTTTACCTACGTGTGCCATGCCTACAACTCTGCTGGCAGAACAGATTGCTCAAACGCCCAGAGCAAAGGTGGATTAGTTTGCTCAATCCTACCTTTAAATTCAGGGGTGGTTAAATAGCAAAGCGACTGCTTGTAGCAATCACCTCTCTCTCACACAGTCATTTCTATTACCAAAGATGCAGAGATGATAATCTCTGGCACAGCAACAGTGACAAGCTAGTGGCAGCACCTTCTTCCACTGCCACAGCTGTCCATTACCTGTGTGAGCCTGCAAGCATGTAGCTTTAGGGAGCAGCCATACCAAATGGAAATACTACTGCCCCCTGGATATAATGCTGCTTATCATCTTATCAGGAAACTCTGCCTCCCTCATGTATATATATATATATATATACACACACAATATAAGAAATTCTAATACTGCACTTTCAGAAAAAAAAAAAAGGAATTTCAGAAAAGTAGTCACTTCTCCATGGCTAGCTAGTTTACGTCAACCTGCTAACTTCAGGTTTAAAATCATCACTGCAAGAAATAAAGATCCTTTTCAGGTTCTTAATACATCAAAGCATGAAAAAAAATCCCCAAATAAAAGCCCTCAAACCCATCATAAGAATTATGAATCATTAAAATGATATCCATAATAGTACTAGCAGGTTGTCAGTGTGGTATTTTAAAATTCAGCAAGGCCTTTTATCTTAAAAATTAGGCAAAGAATCTGTCTCCTAAACTACAGATGACCAGAAGGAAACGGTAGCCTACAGAAATCTACACGAGGTGTGGAAACTAAACAGTCACAGTGCATTGCAGGCTGAATTATTTCACTATCTATATGTCCTTCCAATTAATTGTTTTAATTGGCATTGGTTAACAATGGGCTTAATTTGCAATTTTACATGACGCAGGAATATGTCCTATTTGAGCATTAAAAAAAAGCTGAAATTAGACATACTTTGAGCTCATAGCGATCCACAATAACTATGTAGTCTGTCTCCGTAGGGACTTGTACAGTGTTCTCATCACTTATCTGTTGTTGGTCTTCTTCCCAAGAACGCTCATGAGTCACCGCTTGAAATGCCCAGGAATCTGGAAGGACACAGATTTCTTCAGTCAGGTTTTCTGTTTATCTAGAATACAGTCTCAGTGAAGTATCCTGTACCTGCCAAACAGTCTCTTTCTACAAATACAGAGACAGAATTGTTATCGTCTTCACTGAGAAATACTTGGCTTCTCCCTTCTTTCCAGCTAAAGTCACTGCTCCATAAAAATTAGAAACTAAGACAAAAAAAGCAAACAAAAATACCCACAAACAAACCAAAAGCACTAATGAAAAGCTTAATAGTGGAAAAAAATAGTCATGTTGCCAATTCAGGTTAGGGAACACATCTTAGAGTACAACATTAGGGCTTAAGTCTCCTATTCCACATGTTACTCTGGCTCCACGCATCTTGAAGTGCAGCTTTTTCACCTAAGCTGCTCGTTATTGGAAAGCACCTCGTACAATAAAAGAATGTCAGTGACTGCTGGCTTTCAGTTAGGTACCATTAGAAAAAAACAGACTTCAGAATCAAAAAAACAGCACCTACAGAAACATGTGGGCTTGGCTTGCACAATTAGAGGAGCAACATCATTACGGAATAAACTGTGTGATGATTTTTGAGAGCTGTAACAGAAAAAATAGAGTGCAATTGAAGGCTAAAGCTAATAAATAGTGTGATCCTCCTCAGCAAGAATAAGGTGCTAAAGGATCTGTTGGACTTCTCCCTTACCATTTGAACTTGGATTTTCATTAGTTATAGTTCCCCATCTTGGTGGGGAATATCCACAAAGCTTAGCACTTTCCTTTTCAGTGTTAAGTTTTACTTGACATATGTCAGAAACATGTTTGTCCACAAACTCTTCTTCATCACTATCGTTTTGGTCATCTGTTGGTACTCTGTTCTCTGTATCGAATTGAGAACTCCTCTTTGCTGCAGCATGCGCACAGTTGTTCCTTCTGCGCTTTCTTTCTGACACACCTACAAAGAGACAGCATAAAAAGTAATCCAAAACATAACCAAAAGAATTCTTTCTTCAAAATCCATTATCTTCATCTTACTTGACTGACAAGGAAATCAAAGGAACTGAGCTACCACTGCCTACATATGCTGAGAAAAGAGTTGAAAGTTAATGGGGTCAGTTTGCTATTAAGATTAAAAACAAGCAAACAAACCACACACACTGCTATGGAATTTCATTCACTAAACAGTCACTTTCAGGATTTTACATGCTGAGGATTCTTACTTTGGATGGGCAGCATTAATACAACGTGAGGTTATTTGACAAAGTCACTGTCTTACTCCATGAACTAATACAGATGAACATCATAAAAGCCTCTGGAAATAAGCTCTCCTTCGAGTCTGGTATCAAGCGGAAGACTTCAAAAGCTGAATAGGTGTTTGGAAGAGATTAATTAATGAGACAATTTTAAGGGAATATTCAAAGGAGAAAAAACGTGAAGACTTATACCTCGTATGCTTCCTGATTCGGTAAACCTTTTGTGAAAAAACAAACTTTGTGGTTTTGCCCAACGTTCGTAGTATTCATATAGTATTGCAAAAGGATATGGGTGGAGTCCATGGCAAAATTCCCACTCTCACTAGTTAGACTTCCCTCCTTCAACTGGAAATCACAGTATGAGGTAGCTAAGATTTTAGCATTTGGGGAAGGGAGGGGTGGAGTGGGGGTAAAAATACCATTTTGCATAATTAAAAACTAGTTAAGTATTCAGAAACTGCCATCCACAACATTTTTTACCTCAAGAATTAGCAATTTAGGGGCGACTAAATGTCAATTGGGACGTCAAAGTTGTTTTTTGTTTTGTTTTGTTTTGTTTTTTGTTTTTTATATTGTAAACCAACTTTCTTTGAACTTTAATTCATAACTATATTGAATGAATGACCTCTGGATTTCTCTCTCACATTTTGAAGTAAATTTGAAAACAAAATACCTCTGGCATAAAGAGCCAGGCATCAGAGACACCTGTTGCGCCTCAAGAACAGAGAAGGTATGAATGACAAGAGCAGCTGAATAAAATGCAACTTACCATTAGAAATGGGTGTACTGGCATCTACAGGTGCCGCTGTCATCTCCTCATTTTCATTACTCTCTTCATCTGGTTTGTCGTCTTCAGTAGCAGGGTTCTGCTGTGGTGACTTGGAGTTGTCGCATGGAGTACATGCTGGAGAGGTGCGACCTTGCAATAAAGAATAGATACCAAAGATCTTCGTTGTGCATTCTCAGTTACAAATGCAGAGACAAGTCTTAAAATCCTTAGCATTAAAGCACGTACCTCTTTTCTCACGAGATTCTTTAATTTGTTCACAAAGTCGTCCAAACTCTGTATCCATTTTGTTCCTCACCATTGAATATGCAGTGTCTTGCAAAACATAGGCTCTGTGACAATCTGTAATTTTACAGACTTTAACTGAATGTTGTCTACCAACCAATGAAACTGTTTTGATCACAGAAAAAAATTGCTTGGGAAGCTGGACCCACGCTGCCCGTGGAGGGACACTCGTGTCCTGCGATCGCCATAAAGAGCCGACAGAGGTCCGACCTGGACCCCAGTGCAGCTAGCACACACGTCGCCCAGGATAGGAGCGTGGGTGTTCGGGACGGACGCCTGACGCTCCGCAGACAACAGAAACCCAGGTCCCCGCGACTGCCAGCCCTGAGGCGGCGGATGACAGCTTCACGCTTTGTGGCAAGTCTGGCTCCCACGGCGCTCGTGGCCGGACAACCGTGTCGTGGGGTCGCTGTCCCCAGTCCGCCCAAGACAGAACCCGGACCCCGGTGCGGCTAGCACACTCGTCGCCCAGGATCGGAGCCAAGGAGCTCTGCACAGCTGGTCCCACACTGCCCGTAGACGGACACCCGTGTCCTGCAATCGCTTTCCCGGAGCCGATTGACGTGGGACCCGGACCGCGGTCCGGCTAGCACACATGTCGCCCAGGATCGGAGCCCAGGGTGTCGATACGGATGGCTGCCACTCTGGACAGGAAAGAACCCCGGGTTACCGCGACTGCCAGCCCACGAGGCAGCGGATGACAGCCTCACACTTCGCGGCAAGTCTGGCTCCCACGCCGCTCGTGGCCCGACAACTGTGTCATGGGATCGCTGTCCCCAGTCCACCCGAAACGGGACCCGGACCCCGGTGCAGCTAGCACACACGTTGCCCAGGACCGGAGCCTAGGCATTCGGGAAGGACGGCTGCAGCTCCGGACAGGACAGAACCCCTGGTCTCGGGGACAGCCACTCCCTGAGCCAGCGGATCACAGCCTCCTGTTTCACGACACGGCTGCGATGCATGCAGCTCGTGGCCGGACTACCGTGTCATGGGATCGTTGTCCGCAATCCGCCCGGGAAGGGATTCTTACCCATGCGCGTCTAGCATACGTGTCTCCCAGGACCGGAATCTAGGCGTTCAGGAAGGACGGCCGCCGCTCCGGACTGGACAGAACCCCTGTCTCGGGGACGGACAGTTCCCGAGCGAGCGGACCACAGCCTCCTGCTTCGCGGCAAGGCTGGCACCCACTCGGCTTGTGGCCGGTCACCCGTGTCGTGGGATCACCTTCCTCAAGCCGCCCGAGACAGAACCCGAACCCCGGTGCAGCTAGCACAATCGTCGCCCAGGACCGGAGCCAAGGAGCTCTGCACAGGTGGTCCCACACTGCCCGTAGACAGACACCCGTGTCCTGCAAACTCTTTGCCGGAGCCGATTGACGTGGGACCCGGACCGCGGTCCGGCTAGCACACACGTCGCCCAGGATCGGAGCCCAGGGTGTCGATATGGACGGCTGCCGCTCCGGACAGGAAAGAACCCCGGGTCACCGCGACTGCCAGCCCACGAGGCGGCGGATGACAGCCTCACACTTCGCGGCAAGTCTGGCTCCCATGCCGCTCGTGGCCGGACTACCGTGTCATGGGATCGTTGTCCCCAATCCGCCCGAAACGGGATTCTTACCCCTGCGCGGCTAGCATACACGTCTCCCAGGACCGGAGTCTAGTCGTTCGGGAAGGACGGCCGCCGCTCCGGACTGGACAGAACCCCTGTCTCGGGGACGGACAGTTCCCGAGCGAGCGGACCACAGCCTCCTGCTTCGCGGCAAGGCTGGCACCCACTCGGCTTGTGGCCGGTCACCCGTGTCGTGGGATCACTTTCCTCGAGCCGCCCAAGGCGGGACCCGGACCCCGGTGCGGCTAGCACACAAGTCCCCCAGGATGTAGCCTAGGGGTTCGGAAAGCCGGACCCACACTGCCTGTGGAGGGACACTCGTGTTCTGCGATCGCCATAGTGGAGCCGACAGATGTCCGACCCGGACCGCGGTCCAGCTAACACACACGTCGCCCAGGACAGGAACATGGGTGTTCGGGAAGGAGGGCCACCGCTCCGGACAGGACAGAACCCCTGGTCTCGGGGACAGCCACTCCCTGAGCCAGCGGATCACAGCCTCCTGTTTCACGACACGGCTGCGACGCATGCAGCTCGTGGCCGGACCACTGTGTCGTGGGATCTCCTTCCCCGAGCCGCCCGAGACAGAACCCGGACCCCGTTGCGGCTAGCACACTCGTCGCCCAGGATCGGAGCCAAGGAGGTCTGCACAGCTGGTCCCATACTGCCCGTAGACGGACACCCGTGTCCTGCAATCGCTTTCCCGGAGCCGATTGACGTGGGACCCGGACCGCGGTCCGGCTAGCACACATGTCGCCCAGGATCGGAGCCCAGGGTGTCGATACGGATGGCTGCCACTCTGGACAGGAAAGAACCCCGGGTTACCGCGACTGCCAGCCCACGAGGCAGCGGATGACAGCCTCACACTTCGCGGCAAGTCTGGCTCCCACGCCGCTCGTGGCCCGACAACTGTGTCATGGGATCGCTGTCCCCAGTCCACCCGAAACGGGACCCGGACCCCGGTGCAGCTAGCACACACGTTGCCCAGGACCGGAGCCTAGGCATTCGGGAAGGACGGCTGCAGCTCCGGACAGGACAGAACCCCTGGTCTCGGGGACAGCCACTCCCTGAGCCAGCGGATCACAGCCTCCTGTTTCACGACACGGCTGCGATGCATGCAGCTCGTGGCCGGACTACCGTGTCATGGGATCGTTGTCCGCAATCCGCCCGGGAAGGGATTCTTACCCATGCGCGTCTAGCATACGTGTCTCCCAGGACCGGAATCTAGGCGTTCGGGAAGGATGGCCGCCGCTCCGGACTGGACAGAACCCCTGTCTCGGGGACGGACAGTTCCCGAGCGAGCGGACCACAGCCTCCTGCTTCGCGGCAAGGCTGGCACCCACTCGGCTTGTGGCCGGTCACCCGTGTCGTGGGATCACTTTCCTCGAGCCGCCCAAGGCGGGACCCAGACCCCGGTGAGGCTAGTACACACGTCACCCAGGATAGGAGCGTGGGTGTTCGGGACGGACGGCTGCCGCTCCCGAGAGGACAGAACCCCATGTCTCCGTGACTGGCAGCCCACAAGCCGGCGGATGGCAGCCTCATGCTTCGCGGCAAGTCTGGCTCCCATGCCGCTCATGGCCGGACTACCGTGTCTTGGGATCGTTGTCCCCAGTCCGCCCGAGAAGGGACCCGGACCCCGGTGCGGCTAGCACACACATCGCGCAGGACCGGAGCCTAGGGGCTTGGGAAGCCGGACCCACGCAGCCCGTAGAGGGACACACGTTTCCTGCGATCGAAATAGCGGAGCCGATGGAGGTCCGACCGGGACCTAGTGCGGCTAGCACACACATCGCCCAGGACCGGAGCGTGGCTGTTCGGGAAGCTTTGGTGTCGTGGACAGGCAGCCCCCGAGGCTGCGGATGACAACCTCCTGTTTCAGAACACGGCTGCTACGCATGCAGCTCGTGGCCGCACAGCCGTGTCGTGGGCTCGCCTTTTCCGATCCGCCCGAGACGGGGCCCGGACCGTGGTTTGGCTAGCACACACGTTTCCCACGACCTACCTCAAGGGGCTCGGGACGGTCGGCTCCCGTGCCTCCAAACGGATATAACCGGGAGCGTGGGCTGGTCTTTCGCCGATCCTCAGGGGATAGAACCGGAACGGCGAGTCCCAATAGCAGCGGACACCAGCCTCCCGCTTCACGGCACAGCCGGCCAACGTGCCGATCGAGGCCGGTCCCCCGGGACACGGGACAGTCTGCCGGCATGCCGCCCGACACTGTCCACAGATTTCGGAACAGCCGGTTCCCGAAAGTCTCGACAGCAACAACCTCGTTCAACGCACGGCAAGCACCGCGCCGTATGTGGCCAGATACCTGTGCCATTGGATAGCCGTCTCCGAGACACCCGAGGTCGGCTCTGGACCCTGGTGCGGCTAGCACTATTTGTCTCCCAAGACCGGAACCAAGGGGCTCGGGACGGTCTGCTTCCTCGCCTCCGGACGGAGGCACCCGGGAGCTCGGGACGGCAAGCCTCCCATCCTCATGGGACTGAAACCCGGCACCGGGACGGCCAGTACATTAACCCTTCCCGTTCCTATTCCCGTTCCCGTTACCCTTCTCCTTCCCCTTCCCCTTTCCATTCCCCTTCCTCTTCCCCTTCCTCTAACCCTTTAACACGTACCCTAACTCTAACCCTTACTCTTATCCAAAACTTAACCCTTAACCTTACGCTAAAAAAAAGTTACATTAAACCAAAAACTTACCCTTACACTAAACCTAATTCTCTAACCCTATCCCTAAACCTAACCCTAATACTCTCACCCTAATCTAAACCTAACCAGAACCCGAAACATTAACCTAACCCACTCACCATATTCTTAAATGAACGCGTTTTCTGGGGCCCAATTTTTCAGCCTGTGTGAAGGTCCCCTGGGGAGTTCACTTGTACCAAAAGCCTTCCTTTGGGGCACTTTTTGATGGGCGAAAGGGGCTTTGAACTCCATTTCTCGGGCCCTCTTTTGAATTCCTCTCCGAATCAGGGGAAGGATATTATTGGGGTTGCTCAGAAAGAGCGAACAAAGAGGGTCCAGAGGCATATGGGGCTGCGTGAAGGCTCCCCTGGGGAGTTCAGTTGTACCCAAAGACTTCCTTTGGCGGCACTATTGGATGGGCGAAAGGATCTTTGAACGCATTTTCTCGGACCATGTTTTCAATTCCTCTCAAAATCCGGGGAAGGATATTATTGGGGTTGCTCAGAAAGAGCGAAGAAAGAGGGTCCAGTGCATGTGGGGCTTCGTGAGGGCTCCCCTGGGGAGTTCAGTTGTCCCCAAAGCCTTCCTTTGTGGGAACTTATGGATGGGTGAAACAGTCTTTGAATGCATTTTCTGGGGACCAATTTTTCATTCGTCTCTCTTTCCGGGTAGGGCTATGTTTCGGGTTGCTCAGAAAGAGTGAAGTCAGACGGTCCAGTTGCATGTGTGACTGCGTTAAGGCTCCCCTGGGGAGTTCAATTGTACCCAAAGCCTTTCTAAGGGGGCACTTTT